CTCTCTCTCTCTCTCTCTCTCTCTCTCTCTCTCTCTCTCTCATTCTTGCTCTCTCCTTCTGCCTTTCGTTTTTTTGCCTCTGTTCCTGCCCCCTAGCCCAAGTGATCTGTCTTCATGTTTGTCCTTTCTTCCTCTTCTACTGTTTTCTCTCGTTACGATTATATTGGGGTTTCCATTGGTCAGGGTGTAAGATTTTTATAGATAGTCAAACCGTGTCCTTCGTGATAATAATTCTTTAATAACGTAGGCCACGGTCAAACGGATCAGGTGCTTGGGCTCGAAAAGAAGAGACCAAACTGTGGTTTCCAGCTTGTTTGTTTATTGTTTTTTTTCCCGAGCATGTGAAGCATTTTGTAAAAAATAATATGTTAAGTGAATATTATAGCTTTCTTTCATTCTTTCTTTCTTTCTCTCTTTCTTTCTTTTTTTTCTTCTTTCTTTCTTCCGTTCTTTTCTCTCTCTTTATTTTTCTTTCTTTCTTTCTTACTTATGTTTGTTTCTTTCTTCCTGTCTTTGTTTGTTTCTATCATCTTGTCTTTCTTGTTTTCTTTTCATTGCTTTTGTTTAAGTATACACTCATAATGATCTTTTTGAGCATACTTTTGATGTATGTCTGTTTATTTTCAGGAGCACAAGTAGGAATCGTGATTGGATTTCCTCTGTCAGGGTTTTTGTGCAAATATGGCTTTGCTGGAGGTTGGCCTTCTATATTCTATGTCACAGGTGAGAATATACATCAACTTAATCACATTTTCATTATACAACTTATGTATATGTGGTAAATCAAATCCTGTCATTTTCTATGGATGCGTGGTCTGAAAAATAGGTTCATCCTTATCACAAAGCCATATCTAATAAGAGGATTGGAAATCATTTTGCATTCATAACGTGTGCCATAGATTAGTACCTGTCTGTTAGGGAAAAATGATCATGTGCATTTTTTTGTCACTAATTTAATGTACACTTTGATCTGGAGATTAAGAAAATCCAGTGTAACTGAGGCAATACAGAGATGTGTTTTGGAAATATGGCTAACCAATGCAACACAGAGCCTGTGACAGTCTCAAATAGCCTGGGAAGTGAATGAAGGACAATTCAGTTTATTTGCTAGTTTTTCCAAGAAAAATACCCAAGTATGCCTGCTGATTCCAAGAACTTTACTTTTATGATGTGGATTATTTTGCCACTACTTTTATTTGATTGTTAAGCTGTCTTGTTGGTTGATTTATCAGGTGCCTTCAGTCTTATATGGGCTGTTGCTTGGATCCTGCTAGTAAGTGATAGCCCCTCTACACATAAAAGGATATCAGATGCAGAGAGGGAGTACATTTTGTCATCTTTGCAGAGCGGGTCTGTGACGGAAAATAAACGGGTTTGTCCTTTTTTCAATATGTTATGAAAAGATGTTATCATTTTGACTCTTCCTTTTCTTCCTCCACCTCCTCCTCCCAGCTCATTTTTTTTTTCATTCTTTTCTTTTTTCTTCATGTCCATCTTCTTCTCATTCCAATTCTCCCTTTCCTTCTCCACCTCCTCCTCTTCGCTCTTCAGCTCTCCATTTTCTCATTCTTTTTATTAGTCTTCTTTCTGTATTTTTTTTTCGTCTCCTTTTTCCTCTTCTTCTTATGTATTTCTTCTCATTCGAAAATCTACTTCAAGTACTTCCTTTAAATTATGCTACTACATGTAGATTAATTGTATAGCATTGGTGGTTTAGTGGTTAGGCTCTTGGACTCTTAACATAAGGTCATGGATTCAAATCCTGTAAGGAGTCTGGCGTTGAGTCTGTGGGGAAAGGCACTTTATACGAATTTTTCTCACTTCACCCAAGGGGAATGGACACCCAGCTGTGGACAATGAAAGATCTTGTCGTTTTGTTAGTGTTTTAATGCATGTAATTGGCACCTGGCACGGAATGCTTCCTGGAAAGCTGAGAATGTTTCTGAGTGTTCTTAAGTCTACTGGGGTAATAGGATAGTTATAATAGCACTTGTGTGGCTCAAATTCCCACTCAACAGCATGCTGTTTGTGCTTTACAATATATAACTACCCCAGCAGACTTGATAGTGTTTTGAAACATCTCAACTTTCCAGGAAGCATGCACTGCAAGCTGCCTTTTTAAAGACGCTGAAACACTAACATACTGACAAAATCTTTCACGGTGTATGGTCAGACACCTATTCACTCCTGGGTGAAGTGAGGAGAATGTGTGTCAAGTGCCTTTCCCAAGTACGCACTGTCAGGCCTAAGGCTTGAACTTCTGAACCTGCAACCTCACCATCATGAGGCCAGTAACCTAACCAGAATAGATTGAAAAGCACATAGAGCATGCTGTAGAGCATGGATATGGGCTGCATAAATGCAAAATATTGTGTGTTTAACATTTGAATTGACTTTTGCCCACTCTTTGTACAAACTGAGCACATATGTGGAACATCGTGGGGTTTTTTTTTTCCACCCCTTTGCATATCAGTTTAAAGCTTGAAACACTACACGCTACGTGTAGTCTATATCAGTGTTCTTTGTGTTATCTGAAAAGTGAAAAACTGACAAGTTAATGCATCAGTTTTGGTTCTTATTTTAAAAGATAAAATTTGACTTTGTCCTGCATTACTGTAGATGTGTAACATATGTTGTTGGATTGACATCTGCAGTTTGTCATTGCATGACAAGTAAAAAAAAAATTTCTTTTGTAAATATGTTTTACGGCATTTAACTTTGCCCCGGTGGCGAACAAAGCCTTCTCTTTCGATTCTACTACCGCCAAGGTATCTTTAACATGCTCAACTTGCACATGAGATTTCAGACATTTTTCGCCCTAATCCAAGAAGGCTATGTGTTACATTTTACCACGAGAATGAGGAAGAAGAAAGATCTTACCTGCCCTAAGGTCAGGGGTGTGGCTGAAAGACATCAGTAAGGAGCCAAAGAGTAGCAATAAAAAGGCTGCAGAAAAAGTCAGGAGCAGGCAAAAAGGGGGCAGAAAGAGGAGACGAAAGCAGACGACAACATGGTTAGAGAGTGAAGAAGGAGGTGAAAGGATGAAAATCTTATAGAAGAAAATTTTCTGTTGCTGTCAGGTTTCAAACCCTGGACCTATTAAATGAGAGGCGAACACTGTATCTCTAGACCACGAGAGCCCCCATTGTACGACAATAGCGAGTTGATGTACATGGCTTCACATGTGAATAGGGGCTGTGTCACTGGTTTGTTGGGGGTGGTGGGGTTGGGAGAGGGGTTATGAATTCTGTTCATCTAACACATGATTGCATTAAGCCACATGCCAACATCTAGCTATGAAGCATGTAATCGGCAAGCTGTTACTTTGTTTTAAGCCAAGAAAGCAATAATTTTTAAACTAGAGACAAAAAAATCATTTTTTTAACAATTAGGCCTATACCTATTTTTATGCATCTTTTCTTGCCTTTTTCAACATTTGCAATTTGAATTTTTACAAAATATTTCTCGAAATAAAGTTAACAATTTTTGGCTTAGTACATCTGAACAGTTGGCCAACATTTTATTGTGTTTGTGTTGATCGTTTGATGTTGTATTTGTAGTGTTAATGTGATTTTATTGGAAAGATCGTGCAAATTTATGACTTTTTTTAATGTGTTTATGAAAATGTTGAAATTGTTTTATGTGGTAAAGGCTAATGTCTAGCATCTGATTTTATTGCATTTATATTTCAGGACATCCGTGTCCCATGGCTGAAAATCATGACTTCACTACCTGTCTATGCAATCATTATTGCTAACGTTGCTTCCGACTGGGGAGCCTACACTTTGCTCACCAACATCCCAACGTATATTAGTGAAGTGCTCAAGTTTGATATTGCAGCTGTGAGTCATTAATTTTTACACCCAAAAATGACATCATTTACATATATTTTGATTTTTTTCCATGTGATAAAAATATATTATTAGCAGTCCTGCAGTGCTATGCATTTAATTATAGTTTAGAATTTAGATTTTTGTTTACAGCATGCACCTGGAGCATGGGGTATCTTTTGCCAATCTGCTTTTTTTTTGTACCCACAGAGCAATGTTATTTATACAGTGTTAAATTAATCATCTGAAATATCTAATGAATAGGATATTGTTGTCAGTCTGTCATTTTTTTCGTTCTGTGCTTGCTTTATGCTCTTGAACAAATTCCATTCCTTTCTTTTGTCAAAAATCAATCCATTTCAGTTTACATGCTATAGTTTGATAACGATAATTTTATTCTTTTAAAAAATTCCATTGCTGTTTCCACTTCTCCACTATGTCTCTCATGTGATTAATTGTCTTTCATGTTTTATGCTTTCCTGTATCAAGCGTTTTGTTTATTTACCTTTTAACTGGTACACACCATTTTATATCAAACACAATGAGTTTGAAAATACTGCAAAGGCCAATGTTAGTCATAAATTTAATTGAAAAAAAACCCCCAACCATGTATTGTGGTATAAAATCTTTGGGGTGTAAAATGCTTGATTAAGTTACCATTGGTTTTTTGTCAACACCAAACAGACTTTGTTTGCTGACCACTGATACTTTAAAACTGTATGTTATTCATCATATTCTTCTGAATGCATAATGCAAAATAAGTACCATAACCTGCAACGTGCAGTCTGTACGATTTTTACAAAACAAAAATCTGCTGTCTGCAGATTTATATTCGGGGCACAACTTTCTCTTTACTAAATTTTGAACTTATTCAATATTCAAAGACGATGTATGGCTCTGTGACAGTTTGTGAAATAGTTCTTTCATTTATGTACTATCTTCATCCGCAGAATGGCCTGGTCTCTGCTCTGCCTTACATAGCATTTTGGATTGTAATCAATTTGGGAGGATGGGTTGCAGATTTTGTGAGAGACCGCAAACTTCTTACAACTGGTGTCACAAGAAAAGCGTTCAATGCATTCGGTAAGGCACTGTTAATTGAGAGTAATTATATGGAATTGTATAAAACTAAGATATTTCATCAGGTTTTTTTCTCTTGAATCTGAAGTAAACAAGGGAGACTGATGTCTCGAAGAAATTTTGTTTTTTTGAATTTTGAAGAACTAAAATTTGAAATTATATCTTGACTGTTGTATTCAAGTTAGAACTTGTATAAGTGTGACTTCAAAGTAAAATCAGGCTTTCGTCAAAGTGATGAAATGGAAGAAATCGACATTTTTCCACACATTTTGGTAATTTTTATCAAATTTTTTTTTGCCCCCGCACCTTTTATGTCCATTTAAGAATACATTTATATCTTAATTTTACAAAAAAACTTTGATCAAATGCACAAAAATGTAAATTTGCAGTTTCCAAGCTTTGGACAAAATTTTGGCAGCTATTTTCTCACTATTTTTTTTTACCTCTGACACCAGGCGACCCCCATCTCCTTCAATCTAAAAAGTTCCAAATGTCAAAAAATTGACAAGGGCCTAATTCCACTGTGTTGTGACATATATGTAAGGTTTCATTGTAGGTAGCATTGGTCAAAATAGCAGGAACACCTTTTGGCATATTACTCGTCTTACCTAAAGACTATTCCTCATACAAGCACCTTGTCAATAAAAACTGTTTACTGTTTTCTTTAACTAGCTTGAAGTGTATTAAAAAACAAAGGCAGTAATTTGTTAGCCAGGATGTGACATCCGGCAATAAAGGTTAAACACACAATGAAAGAGTGTTGAGAGAAGAAAGAAAAAAAACAAACTTTTCTATCGTTACCAAGATATTTTGGGTTACAACAGCATACACAATGAGTCACTAAAAATATAATATAGTAGCACATTAATATAGACCAGTGACTACTCAACTAATGCCAAATCACTTACATTGCTGTGAGCCTGATCTCACAAATCTCTTTATCACAGGAAATTTGCTTTAGTTTTAAATAGAAATCTGTAGTTAGTTATATATTATCATCAAAAATTTAAGTTTCCATCAAAACTGTTTGACTTTTCTTTCACTGATCTTCTTGTCCATTCACAGGCAAAATTCTTCCAGCTATTATGTTGATCAGTTTAGGCTATGTGGACTGTTCTCAACCAACGGTAGCCATTGCCTTGCTGGTCTTAGCTGTGTCTCTCACGGGTACACAGTACAGTGGCTTCCTGGTCAACCACGTAGACATCGCTCCAGCCTTTGCTGGTATTCTCTTTGGTATCAGCAACTCCATCGCTGCTGTCACAGGATTTATCTCCCCTGTAATAGTTGGGGTCATCACAGAAGAGGTCAGTGGCATAACAAAGTATTTTAACCTTTTTCTGTTGATTTTCTTTTGACCTTGACTTAGGAATGTCTCAACCTCAAGCTCTTTAGCTTTTTATGATTGGATGATCTATTACTGGTTGGAAGGAGTGACACAGTTACAGTCGAAGCTCACACACAGTTGCTCTGTTTCTTGCCTCTGTATGAATGAAAGAGTTTCTATGCTAATATTTTCAACTACCACCTGGTTGATGTTGTATTTTCTTCTCTTTTCCATACCTCTCGTTTTACCGTACCTATTTTTCATAATTGTCCAAGAACAATATTCCTGTTTCAATGTTGTGTTTGTTCTTGTGCATTGAAGCTACAAACATTAGATGATGCCATTTTTTAAAACCACTTTAATTTGATTAAAAGTTTGTGTTTTATATTTTTAAAAGCCGGACCCTTACTAATGTACACACACTGTATTTCCAGTTGCTAGTAGCATGTAGCTGTTTTGTATATATGGGCCATTTTGTGTCAGTTGGATGCTTTGATGGATAAGCTTTTATGAACATTTTGTGAGAGTGGTAGACTTTTTAAAGTAGCAGATCATGTTTGTTAAATTTAATTCTAAATTGTTATCCCAATTAATTTGCAGTGAAAAAATATTGTGATAGCAGTACTTGCTGAGCAAGGACTTAACCTATAATGTATTATCATGATTTGTTTTTCAACCTGCATCTTTCCATCTGTCCATCTTTCCATCCATACTTCCACTCTTTGAAGTATAATTGTTTTATACTCTAAATTTAAAAGTACTTTTTTTTTTTTTTTTAATTCTCCAGCGCCAGACAAGGGCTGAATGGCAAATAGTCTTCTATGTTGCTGCTGCAATTTATATATTTGGAGCTGTTTTCTACATAATTTTTGCCTCTGGGGAGCTTCAGCCCTGGGCAAGAGTGGAGACCTCAGGGACTACTAGAGCAGCGAACCATGAGCTAGCAGTGAACTCAGAAGGGGAAAACCTGAAAATGTTACAGGAGGGAGAGGCTACCAAAGTGTAGACCTACTGTATGTTTGAAAATCCTAGTTTACAAAAAATGTTATTATTTTATGCTGTGTGTGTCAAGGTTCATTTCCTGTAACATTGTTGCTTTATGATTATTTTCTCCCCTCAGTACTTTATTTATCTAATTTTGCGCAAAATTTCTTGTTTTTTGACATTATCAATGTTGTAATAAGACCTTAGACAAAGTATGCTTGTATATTTTATGAATTCTTCTAATCTACAGATGTGAAATATGTGTGTGTGTTTGTGAAATATTTATGAAGCAACCAAGATCTCTTAGTTATTGAAGTTAACTGTTTTGTTCCTCTTTCTCATCACACCTTTATGTGTTCTGCGGGCAAACTTTTGCATAGCTAGCCATTTTGACTACTGTGCTTCTAATTCACTGAACACACAAGCAAAAAACATAGAAGAGTAAATTCTTTTGTTTCTTTTGGTTTCAACACCCTTGCTATTTACACAGAACTAAATGTACTGCTTTAGAATGTTTGTGTTTGTCATTCTTAATATTAGGCTTACTCCCAAGACATTTTTCCAACGATTTGGATGTAAACTATTATTATTTTTATGCCGCCAACGCTGAGTTGTAAGAAGTTGGAAAATGTCACAGCTGGGCCACCTCTGAGACCATTTTTATATTCAAGGACCTGCAGATTCTTATCAGACCTCATTATATTTATATAATGATCTAGAATGAAAAATGTGATGCAGATTTCTTATTAAGTCATGCATGCTGATCTGGATTCCTCAAAGCAGCTTTTCTGCTTAGTTTATTTACTTACCAATTGTGTTTTATTTCTGTTAATAGAATAACATTGATATCTTTTTGCAGTCATGTATTCGACTCACATCTTTTTTTAATCTGAGGAAAAGGTCATTTTAAGACTAGCTTTCAGTTCCTTACTCAAGAAAAAAAGTGTTCATTGAATTAAGAAAAGTTTATTTCTATGACGTTCTACTTATAATGGGAATGATACTCCTGTGACTTTTCATTTTGTGGAATGTTTGCAGAATTATTCCTCGTTTTATCTCATTGATGTGAAGAAAAATGAGCGTCTCAAATATATAGTACTTACCATGTAAAGGAAGGTTAAATGAAGTTACAGGTACAACTTCAAAACTTAATTAACCCTTTTTTCTGTATTGGTTTCTGTGCCTTATGATTTTGTCACCCTTGTCGCAATTGTGTTTTTGTATTTTATTGTATAAATGAATGTAATCTGAAAATTGGAAGGGCATTGAGCAAACCGTTCTGTGAACAAATAGCATATTAACATCTTCATGCGTAAGGTGGGACTTGATTTAATGAACTATTTATGCTATTGTAAACATCTGTGAAATGCAGTGATGAACAGAAAGGAAAAAGAAGTGGATGGGAGGAGAGTGAGGTTGGCTAGAGTAGTCGTCATTTGGAGTATTCTATAATATTTATCCATCTCACTGTATGGTGCCTAAGAAAAACTTAGACTCGCTGCAATGATGATAACACTGATTGTTCATATGTAATTTGTCATTGCTGAAGTTTTACACCACCATCAACACTATTTATAGATCATTTAGGAGGCAGGCTGCTTTGACCTTGCCTGTCAAGGCCAACCTAGGCTGAGAAGCATACAATGTTCCATCATACATAAAGATTTTAAAAATTGTCTCCCCCAACCAGAATCGAACTCATGTCTTCTGCATGAGATGGCAAAGCGCTTAACTGCTGCAGCACAGATGCTGGTATGATTATTCACCAGAGACTGGGCCAGTCAAAATTTATTAAGAAGCAGAAAACTTCTCTCACACCAGAAGATATTTAGACACTTGTCCCAAGTATGGTGTTGGTATTCGATACTGTCTCATAAAAGATGATGGGGAATACATTCCTACCTCTGCCCAGTCTCCGGCATGCTTCATGTTTCATATGACTAGCTGGTTTCACTTGATGGCAGGAAAAGCATATGTGATGCACCGTGGTGAATTCAGCCGCTCGTCAAAATAAAAAAGTTGAAGAGATCAACACTTTCCTGCCCATTTAGTGATTTTTATTAAAAATTTTTGGTTGGGCTCATCACTTTAATGTCCACTTAAAAACACATTTCTGTGTGGATTTTACTGGAAAAAGATTGATAAAAGGCACAAAAAACGTAAATGCTCAATTTTCAAGGACTTTCAAGCTATGGAAGTCACCAAACTTTGGTAGCCATTTTCTGGCGAATTTTTCCTCTGAAACCAGACAACTCCCACCTCAATCACTCAGTCACAAATATCTCGACTTCTATTCAAGATAGATGGGTAACTTCTCATTGAAAGCGAGACAAAGGAACTAATTTTAAGAAAAATCATTAAATATACCAATACCTTCCCATGCCTGGAATTGAGGAGCGCCTTATTCCAGTGCGTTGTGATACATGCTTATCTACAGCATGTCAAGTTATGTTTTCATCGAAAAATATAGAGGGGTGCTCTCTGTAGTCTGTTTGTTTGTCTGTAATGCTTGGGAAATGCTTTGCCTTAGAATTCTTTTAGAACATGCAGTGAGTAAACATGCTTGAGAGAGTTGTATAGTTTGCAGAAGCACATTTAGGTTTTGTTGGATTTTATAATGAAATCTTGTCTCCTTAAAGTTATTTAAGACATTAGAGCTTGATATCATGTCCCCAGTTTTGAATCTGTATAGAAGGGTAAGTAAATCCTGATCAGTCATGACACTTATTGGGATAGCTTGTGGTTTTGAGAGAAGGGTTGTGCTTCCTATGGTATACATTAGGCTTTAGCTGTTGAACTTGTGAAAAGGAGAGGGTGGAGGATTCTCACTGGGGAAAAAGATCTCAAACTGCAAAGACCACAAAAATGTCTCTCAAAATGGGAGTAGAAACCAGTTGTTTATCATATTTATTTTATTTAATTCAAAGTCAAAGAATCTGTTTTAATTCTGGAGCATGGAATGTCCAAAGTTCCTGTTTCAACATCTGTCTCAAAAAGCAGAGTAGTTAATTGTGTATATATGATTTGAAGCACCAACACTATTTATGTGCTGTGAAGATCTCAGTTTAAGAGTGCTGTCCTTGTTTACAGATAACGTTTCCTTAGACAACAGTTAATCTTTTGCAGTTAATGCAATGTCAGTCGTCATCTGAAAACACATTCTTCATTCCTTTCTTTTTTTCATTTTCTAAAAAAAGGTTTTATTTTCAATTTCTTTTTAATACCAGTACATATGTACTGATATTTAAATAATTTCTTTACAAAAATATGCTTGACCTTTCCTTTTAATATCAATTTTCATTCTCATATATCTCTTAATTGTTACATGATATTTTTAGTGTAGCCTGACAAGATATGAAAAGAATGCTGTGTTTTATTTACCTGGAACCACCCTCTCTTAAGCTTTATATAACTGATGTCCTTACCAATGTATTGATATTAGTGGTGATGGTATAGTCATAGCCTAACTAGTGGTTAAAATGTAAACAAGTTGCTCACCTTTCCATCACCGCAAACACTTTTCTGTGGCATTATGCATGATAAACTCAACAGACTTTAGTGTAATAGGCATTATTATTTGCCATGCTACTTGGCTGCCTCTCAACATTTGCAGCTTTTGGATGTAAATATGTACAGGTCTACAACTTTTTGTTTTGAAATTAAAAAAAATTAACCAAAAAAGTCCATAAGGGTACCGGAGTTGTGTTATCTGTTACTTTTTGTTTGGTTTATATTTTTGGATATGATCTTGGTTGGATTTTTTAAATTTTTTATTAAGGGCTGGGTTGTTGTTTTTTAAAAACTAGAGGTCTAGTTTCACGCCCCTCTGGACATGAATAGGGCCCATTGTGGAGTCCCACTCTGTGTGTTTTCAGAGTGTATTTTAGACTAGGCCAGTAGCATTGACTAAACGACTAAACAGAAAACATAAGTGTGTGGTAAAAGGATGCTGTTTCAACACCATGTTGGTTGTTGCATAATAATATGCAAGGAAGCTTTTTCCCTTGTTAGTGGGTCGACAGACCATATTACTCCCCCCTTCTTCTCCCCTCCCCACCCCCGTTTCCATCCCTCCTACTCCTACCCCGTCCACCCTAAGTAAATCTGTAAAATGTCAGTATGTAGGCCTATAGATAGGGGAAAGCGGGGATGCTTCGGATACTTTTTATGTTTGGCTCAACCGCTCGCTTCAGAAGCGATTTAGGCCTAAGGAAAAGGTTCACCGTTTTTTTGTTATCCACTTGGGCATCATCACTTGCGATATCAACTTCGTGCATTATCACATTTTACCTCATGAATACCATATATGAGGTACCCTAAGATTTCCGAAACCACCCCACTCTGCGGGAGACATCGAACAAACGTGAGGAAAACTTCGGACGAAGAGGGGTGACTTCGGACAGTGTGTTTCATTTCAAACATTATTTTTGAGAGGCAAAACTTCGACACAACATACATCTTTACCTATACGTTTTGTTTGGGGTCGCAGAAAACAGTGATCCAACCATATCTATCAACCAGTACGTTTGTATGCATAGCATATTTGTACGTGCTGACTTGGAGTTTCCCCTTACCATTGTAACACAGGGCTATGTGATACCCCTAATAACACGCTAGATTTTGTAGTGATAAACAGAGATGTAAAGTTTTCTTTTCCGCTTTAGTTTCAGAGTCTGACAACGTTTAGATTTGGTGAGAGCACAGAATTCATGAAGGTGCTCCTGCTAAACAGTTCATCGATATTTCTCTCTGAGCGATGACCTCTTATTTGAATCCAGGTATATATATATGTGTGTTTTTGAACATAGGTCGGTTGAGGGGTTTTCAGGGCTTTTATTTACGTCCTGACGGAGACGGACGTAAAATCGGATATCCGCCATCTCAAATAACCTGACAGTTATAGTGTTTCTGGGGACGTTACACCACAACCAAACAGATTCAAACTAAACCAGTAAATCAGAATTTTCTTTTTAAATAGAGCTTCAAGTGTTGCCCCTTGTTTGACCTTTAGAAGAAGCAAAGACAATGCACTGGAGACTTCAATGAGAATAAAAACATAAACGGATGCCATTTTAACGGCCAACTTATAGGAGGCTTTTGACCTCTTTGCTGAGCCTCCAATCGAATAAAAAAAGAGCTGATCTCATTTTACACTGGTAGAAAGATGGAAACATTTCTTTCTTATAAGATTTTCTTAGGGAAGACTCTCAAAGTCACCTCCTTTGTCTTTCTCTGACACCATTTCCCAAAGAAGTGAATAGTCCTTCACTTCTATCATCCCAAGTTCGACGACAACAAAGTTACATTCTTTAGGTTCCACGTGAAGGGATGCCTTTCTCGAGCCAAAACCTAGACAGCCAGTCTTTTCGGGTAGATTTTGTTCATGTGCCATATTTCTGGCAGGATTATATTGTTTGCTATGACACATGTGTATGTTATACTGTGGCAAACGTCGGGTTAGAATAACATCCTTGAACATTCTACCAAATACAATTTACTCCGAGAGTTTTTTTCCCTAGAGGGTCATAAAAAATTTATGCAGTCATAAACGAGGGTCTCTAAAACGCATCATTCACACCGTTTTAGATAGTCTTTCAAAATAGTTTTTTTTCATAACTATTGTAATGGTTTCTGCACGACGCAAAGACACTAAGTCATTAACAAGTGCATAATGCATAATGGCGAGTTTCTTCTTTCTAACTTTCTGTGAGCTAACGGGCGTTTTTCATTTTGGGGACTTTGTGTTTCCTTGACATGGTTACAATCTGGTAAATACAACAACACAAGAATACGTTTTGAAAATTCAATTTTCATAGTAGAGGCCTAACTCTGATTCCTTCTACACCTGCATTAGTCGTCGGGAGACCTATGACAGTGTTCAAAGTCATCCCGCCCCTTGTACGAAGTCTCCCTACATTATCATGGGGGTAGTGTAGGGAACATGTTCGTGAAACAGACATCATGAAATTTAGAGTTGATTTTATTAATTCAGCACGCAACTGACACCCTATGGCACATATAGCTTTGTGAAAGGATCGCTGCACTATTATATTGTGTAAACCTTACAAACTGAGGTAAGAAAACCCTTGTCAAAAACAATGTCATTCACAGCAGATGCAAGGTTTTTTCAGTGAGGCGGCAAAAACAGAGCAAACTATAACCTCACATGACACATTACATTGTATTTATGTGCTTCAGTGACAAAGCGTGTACTATCAATAGTTCAGCGAGCATTGATGTGTCCAAAGTCTCTCCGTGTCCGAGGCCTCCCGGCTCGACTCCCTATCATGTATTTCGTCAAATGGTATAGAAACAATGTGCTTTTCATTAGAAGGCAATATCATTACACACTTCCATACTCATACACATTGTCACAAATCACAGTGGAATCTGGCGCTCGTCAGTTGTTGGGCGTATGGAGTTATTGGTACAGTCATAAAGCTTGTTCTGTCGTCTTGCTTTTGATCAAAAATAAATACCCATCTTAATTGAATAGAATCAGAAGTCGAGATAATATTTGCGATTAAGCGGTTTAGGGGGGGGAGGGGGGCAGACTGGTATAAAAGGTAAAAATCGGCGAGAAAATTGCCGCCAGTTTGGTTACTTCTAAAGACTGCGAATTATAATTATACTATTATACACACACACACACACACACACACACACACACACACACACACACACACACACCCACACACACAAACACACACACACACATACACACACACACACAGAGACACACATACATGCCTTTGATCAACGCCTTTTTTTTTCAAAAGTAAAATCCGCACCGAAATGTGTTTTTTAAATCGGCAAGATAAAAGTGTTGAGCCAAAGAAAAAAAAAAGGAAAAGAAGAAAATCGATAAAAATTCAGAACAGGCGCAAAAATGCCGGTCACAAGTATTCATCTACCACAGTACATTATCAATAATTATACATCTCATCCACGCACACTCAACTATCATTCCCAATACACATAGTTGACATATAGGAAGGTCAAGTGCCCCTTAAGAACAATCTACTCTGTTATCTCTTATCATTCATACCGAACGAAAATCAAAAATAATAATATACCACTTTCTTTGTCTGAACGTAGAGCGCGTTATATCCCGTAATCGAAAAAGAGGAATCGTTACAGTTTACGAAGTTTTGTTCTTCGTTCCATCAATGATAGTGTTATTCACTATCTTTGGTTCCATCTCGGGTCTCCACTGCACATTAAGTAGTAGGAGAGAATTGAGAAAACTGGGACGAGGCCCGAAACATGTATTTCTTAGTTTGAGTTTTAGTAGGAATTTTACAGCGCCCGCAACTGCATAAGGTCATATGAGCTCCAGAAGATTGGAGGTGTTACAAGAGAGCAACAAACAAACAAAAAGAATGAAGGGGAGATAAGGACGATAGATGTTTGATAGGAAAGAAGGAGCATGTATTTCATTTCTGTGGATACAAATGAACCGTACCGCAATGAATGTATTGCTTATCAATAGATCTAGATCTATACCTTTTGATTGCTATTACATCCCTTCAACTTTCTATTTTAAATTTCCAAAGACTGCTCAGTTTTGCAACGTTGTTTTTTTCTAGACCAGTTTTTGTCTTTCTGCATAATCGAATACGTTGAACTTCAGCTGAAGGTGAGAATGTTATTGTGTAGTCATAATCATAATATTAGTATAATCTATCAACTTTATAAGACAATCAGGCTGAGTACTATCTCATTAAGAAAATGCAGAATCAACCTTGATGTCTACCGCAAGAATTGTGAGCTGGTGTCCCACTTTATCCCTCTTGTGTCCCAGTTTTTCAACCAAAGAAATCAATATAATATTATCCAGAACAAACCTACCACGTCGGGATTGAACATGGTGCTCAATAAAAGTACAATTTGGTTCTCATGTTCGTATGCAGCCCCTGACGTATGCCATGTAGTTCTAGATTTCTAATACCACTTTCCAGATTGTTTTGTTTTTGATTGTTTTTCCAGAAATTCCTCGTATCTGCAGGCGAGAATCCGAAGCGGGATACACCCTACATTTCATATGAAATTATGAAAAGGTCGATGGAGGCTGTCCAGAATGGTAGAACTGTCTAGGAAGCATCAGCAGACTTCGGTGAGTCAAAATCGACTCTTGGTCGGTGTGTGCAGAAGCTGAAAGTATAAGCTGATGAAAGCCTTCAGTCAAACAACAAGCCAAAAAAAGGGGATGTTCTCTGAAGCACAAAACGCACACTTGACGACTGTTTTAAACATGTTCAAACACGTGTTATGGGCTCACAACAAAGTGGACTCGTATGTTAGCCTTTGAAATGACAATACAGAGCTATGTGGACGTTCCAGAGGGTTGGAATGACAACACAGAGTAAAGAGTAGTTATTCATTTCACATTTTGCCAAGACGCCCGAATTTGTCTCTGGGCACTCCAGATACGACTTCCCTAAAGATAAAATTTTTAAAAATAGCGTCGGTCTTCAACATCAACCAAGAGATTGTAGCTAGGTTTTTCTAAATTCAAGAACTAGTCGCAGCCACCAAGGTATCAGCTTTCATGGTATACAACTTAGAGAAATCTGGATGCATAAATGCACAGTGTCCCCCCCCCCCCCTCCACCCCTCCAAATGATCGCACTCAAGGGGGGCAGAAACAGGACAAGGTTGGGAAGATCACTTCCCAGGGGCGT